GCCACCATGCCCAGCTAATTTTTTTTTGTAGTTTTAGTAGAGACGGGGTTTCACCATGTTGACCAGGATGGTCTCGATCTCTTGACCTCGTGATCCACCCGCCTCGGCCTCCCAAAGTGCTGGGATTACAGGCTTGAGCCACCGCGCCCGGCCCAGCTAATTTTTTTATATATTTAGTAGAGATGGGGTTTCACTATGTCAGCCAGGCTGGTCTCAAACTCCTGACCTTAGGCGTTTCCCCACCTCAGCCTCCCAAAGTGCTGGGATTATAGGCATGAGCCACCGCACCTGGCTGCCACTCTTCTTTTACACCCAGATGTAAACTTACTTCTCTAGGCAATACCACAGTGTTCATAATTACTAATGTTAACAGCTGAATGATACGTCATCTTACTGAGTTTCTAAAACCTTATAGCTCTAGCTTCCAAATATTTATTTATTGACTTATTTTGAGACAATGTTTCATTCTTTTGTTGCCCAGCCTGCAGTGGAATGGCACAATCTGGGCTCACTGCAACCTCTGCATCCTGGGATCAAGCGATTCTCCTGCTTCAGCCTCCCAAGTAGATGGGATTACGGGCATGTGCCACGACACCTGGCTGATTTTTGTATTTTTAGTAGAGATGGGGTTTCACCATGTTAGTCAGGCTGGTCTTGAACTCCTGACCTCAGGTGATCCACCCACCTTGGCCTCCCAAAGTGCTGGGATTATGGGCATGAGCCACCACGCCCTGCCAAATACTTATTCTTTGTATCTAGTTGGGTCTATTTTGTATTTTGTTAACTTTATTACCATAGACTATCCGCAGTATCCTAAGGGGATGTCCTAATTTAAGGGAAGTCTTATTCTGTATTAATTGCAGGTCCCATGGGAGGGTAGGAGTCCTGGCTCGAGCTGCAGCTTTGCTCAGATTAACCATTCAGAAGGCAGGCTGGCCCTCCTTAGGTAGTACTTGCATAGCCACCTTAGACCTGTTGCTACACTGGACAGATTGGAGTAGACATGCTGTTTACTGCTTTGGCTATTTGTGAGGCAAAGTTATGACTGAGTATGGCCTTTAGAGTCCGGCAAGGGCTGGGGTGCAGTGGCTCACACACACCTGTAATCCCAGCACTTGGGGAGGCTGGGGCAGGAGGATGATTGAGCCAAGGAGATGAAGACCAACCTGGGCAACATAGTGAGACCCTAACTCTACGGAAAATAAAATAAATTAGCCAAGCATGGTGGTACACTCCTGTAGTCCCAGCTACTCTGGAGCCTAGGAGGTAGAGGCTACAGTGTGCTGTGATTGTGCCACTGCACTCTAGCCAGGGTGACACAGGGAGACCTTTTCTTTAAAAAAATTTTTTAAAAACTTCTGACAAGGATTGAATTCGAATTCTGCCCTTTACTATACAACCATGGGCAAGTTGGCCAGGCTTTCTGAGCCTTGGTGTAGATGGTTAGAGAGAGTGGTTGCTATGCCCCTGGCACATCCTCCAAAAGTGTCTGCTCTGTGCTGTTGCTTTTATTACAGTGTGAACAGAGGAGATAGTTACCACTTGTGTCTCTGCCTGGTGTTGCACAGCTAAGAGTAGCAGAGCTGGCTTTAACTGTAAACCACTGGGGATGTGTCTACGCTACCACAGATCAGAGACAGCTGCCTCATTTCTCTTCACAGAAATTGCCCCAATGATGGCCAAGACAATTAAAGCTTTCAAGAACAGATTCTCCCGACGATAAACTGAGGACTTGTCTTGGAAATGGAATCTGGGGGCGGGGGCAGGAAAACAAGGACAGTGGAAGTTTGGGAATGGAATTCTGCAGGAGACTGGAGTCTTGCTTTGTGGATCCCTTTGGTCTCCGAGTCCTGCCGTCTGCAGGTGCTGCCCCTGGGAAGCTGCGTGTCATAGCCCTGCCTCCCTGCCTGGAGCACACTTCAGAATTCTGAAGAAGATGTGAAACCTCTGTCTCACTGAGGATTTTAAAGGTCATTTATACTTTTGTTGTTCATTAGCATCTTTGTAAACTATAAGACATAGTTTTAAAGTTTTAATTAATAAATATTGCCCCCAGATTGTATTTATATTATCCCCCAGGTTTTTTTGTTTTTGTTTTTGTTTTTTTTTTTTTTCGTCCTCTACCACACATTTAGCCTTTTATCTTCCAGGTCCTTTATTAAAGTCAGATGAAAGCCTAGTGAAAGCCATTCTCCTGCCCCAGCTCAGCGCTCCTGAGTGGACTCTGGTCCAGACAGAGGACTGGGCGTCTCCAGAGCCTGCATGGTACTTGCTGCACGTAGGGTGAGGAATGAGCACCAGACTGCCCATCCCCAAGGGAGCCTCAGTGGGGCAAGGGGATGTTCGGTGGACTCCCACCTCAGGCCCTCCCCAGGGTCTCTGCACATTCCTGTGCACACGCATCTCTTTCTTACTCACTAACTGGTATTTATTAAGGGAGGTGCTCTGTAAAGGTCTGGAGCTTTTCCCTCATCCTTTTTGTGAGTCTCCACCTTTTTGTTTTTTTCTTTGAGGCCCACTAGAGGACACAGAACCTTGGGAGACTGATATGCACAGAACTCCCCACCTCCCAGTTTTACAATTTCCAGTTTCTGATTGAAAATTTTAGGGTTTTCCCCACACTCCCCTACCTTTCCTTTTCCTCAACAGCATGGAAGAAAAACACACACATGACAAGGCTTTTTGTAGCCCTGAATACAACTTTAGAGATTTAAAAGACACCATTTTAATCTCTCGTTCTCTGTGAATCACTATGAGAAGTGAATGGTTTTAAAAGTTGTAATGCTATGTTGGAAATTGGTTTGCCTTTTATTTAAAAGATAAGATCATGTGATTGGAAGAACACAACTGTTGACTTGGGAAGAGAACTTGCTGCTGAAGCATTTTTTACCTTGAGTGTTTAAGGCAGGATTTGGAGGGAAAGACAGCTTAGGGAGAGTGTCTGAGCCACAGCATCAGGATGGGGGAAACCGCATGGCATCCATCAAGTTCCAGTTGACACAGGAGCAAGATCAGAACTTAGGAGGGCAGTGTCAGCTCCTTCATTGGCTGTCAAGGAACACCGATCTAGTAGAAACCAGCTTGGTTGTGACCTAGGTGGAGGTAGATGCCATACATTTGACATGTGCTTCCTTTAGGAGCCTGATAGGCAGACTGAGGGGATGGTAAGCGTGACAGCCTGACAAGTTTTCCAAAGCCCAGGATACAGAGCCAGTGTTTTTTGTAACATCTGGAGACCTCAGTTAGGCCAACTTTGAATTCCAGAGCAATGCAGGAAGTCTGTGCAGCAGAAACTCAACATTGTTCAGTGTGTTTTGCTGTGCAGTGTGCTATTGTGACAGGACACAAATGTTGCTGTGTTTTAATTTGCTATTTATTTTTGAATTGGGTAAAGCATTATTTCCCTTGGTCACCTGCACCACCATTCCACCCCTATCCCTAATCTGCCCCCCAAATTAATATTAGGAAGCCTCATACCTGAAACCAAATGAACATTTGGGTCAGGTGCCAGATGTCCGCTGCATAGAATAGCTTTTTCTAGATGTCTACCACCATGAATTTGTCTCTTAACTGGGTGTTCAAGTCTTTGTCATTGAAACCAGTTTTTCATATCTTAGATTCAGTTGTATATGATTTAATTTCCCTTATTAGGAGTCTTTGGGCAGGGAGGAAAGAAAAGACAGATTTGTTCATATCAATGTCAATATCCATTTTGGCACATAAAGATTCTTGATGAACCCTGCTTGCATAGAGCCAGATCTTTTCCCCTCCCCCAAGAGTATCTGCATCAGGGATGTGACTTGGTGTGAAAAGAAAGTGGAAAGAGGAAAATCCCAATTTCTAAATGACCTCCTTGCCCAGCTTACTGAAATGGCTGCAGAGCAGACACAGGATGAATTTGAACCTTGTGGAAAAAGTTGTGCAATTTTTTTTCTGTGCGACACTACATACAAATCACCAAATTACAAATTACCCCTTTGTGATCCTTGGTGTACTGAGCAGTTTCTTTGGGGCTTTTTCTTTCTGGGAAGTGGGAGGGAAAGGAGCAAGGTATCATCCTGCTCTTCATTTGTATTTTGGTCCCAAAATGTAAATACAATTTTCTATGTTACTTTTTTGTGGTAACTACCAAGATGAATATTTTAATTAGATAAGTTATATGAAAATGAAAATTCCAGGTCTAAATAAAAAAGAAAAAAAACTTCATATACTGTATCTTCTTTACTTATAGTGTCAGGGAAAATAAGTTAGAAAATGCCTGATTCTTAGACTGTTAAACAGCATCCTTGGGCTGGGCCTTAAAGAATGTTGAATTTCTGTTGGTAACATAGTAGGACAAGGAGAGGGGAAATTTGGGGGGAAAGAATTCTGTGAGCAGAAGGAGGGAACTCAGCATTTTCAGGGAACCAGGCACTGTCCCTTGGTATACTTGGAACCCTGGTAACTCCATCTTGCAATTAGAAACTGGTTCAAGGCTGGGCGCGGTGGCTCAAGCCTGTAATCCCAGCACTTTGGGAGGCCGAGGCGGGTGGATCACGAGGTCAAGAGATCGAGACCATCCTGGTCAACATGGTGAAACCCCATCTCTA